ACTAAATCAACAAATTCACCGAGAAAGCTGTTGTAACAGACATACGTATGAAGAATGTATCACGTAAAATTTGTTATTAAAATGTTAGCAAAACCAATGTACGACCTACCCGTTCGGTCGTTAATTTAATTCGAGGTAGTCCTTCCCGTAGTAACGGAACGCAACTGACTGACTAATGATCGAAGCCATTTGTTTCACTTTCAGTACTTCCGAGTCTCAAACTAAAATTTACTGTTTCTTTTTCTTATGTTATACTGTAAATGCACTTACTAAATTTCGATCTAAGAGATGCATTTTTGCAATAAATTAACTGAAACGTTTGTTATACTTCTTTAATGCCACATATTCTACCGATGCCTGCAAAGATTGTTATTTTCTCGTACCCGTAACTTCGTAGAAAAACCAGTCGCAGGACAAAGACCGACTACCCTTGACATAATTATGAAGCAGAAAACACAACAACTAGTATATGTACTTACGCAGGCCCGTTCTCCTGGGTGGAAAAAAAACTCAAAGAAAATGAGAGTGGAAAATCAATTATATCTACAAGGATGGCTACGATATTTACAGATAATAAATGCCTTTAAGCTGGTAACTTAGCGTTACCAATATGGCGAGCACAATAAATGAATATGCAAATGTTATTAGTGACGTCATGTACCCAGAATGCATTGCTCCAAGACGTTATAAGGAGTCAAAGATAAGGCACTCACATCCTGAGATTGTAGCTCAAACATCTCGCAGTATACTTACTTACCTTAGAAGTATTCTGAAAGAAAGAAAACATTCACCAGTAAGAATGAAAACGATTGACATGTATCCTATAATTATCTTCTATGCCTCCACCTTGCAACTTTAAAACTGTAGATCAATGAATTAGGTGAATCGGCCATTTCCAAAGTGAAGAGTTTGCCTTCCTAGTAGTAATACTTCACTCTCCCAGACTGACTTTCGTTTATCTCTTGATGCTGCCTCCCAATTGTATCGTTGTCTGCCTGTTGATCTCCTGCCTTCGACTTTTCCCTCCCATACTGAGAGGAATTTTGTCATGAAAGATACAATTTTGGTTCAATGCGATACATATACTGGTTTTGGTTGCCTGATCCAGTAACTCGCAAGTGCTGGGCTGTTGAAAGCGTGGCTACAGATAGGTTCCCCTATGTCGGACAAGTCTAGAGACGGTGAGAAGATGAAGAAGAATACACGCGCAATTTTTTTAATTGATATAATGTGGGCAGGCAAAGTCTGTAGAAAGCTTCTTCTTCACCTTTTCGTCCAGTTATCACAGAGAAGTTTCAGAGGCGGGGGGGGGGGGGAGGGGGGGTGAAAAGGTCGTCTATGTGATCTTCATAATGCGTTGTATAAGTTGGTCTTAGTTTCTTTAAGGCCCTTCTTGATGCCAAGTTTTATGTGATCCTTTTACTCTATGTTCATTATGGTTCTTAAACATGGTTCTTTGTGTTAGTTGATATCAGTACATTCCCGTATGACAGCCTTATAATCTCACCTAGTTTGTTAGTTGGTTAGTTAAACGACAGATTATCCTCACAACATCGCACAAGTCGATAAGCGCTCAGCTCATATCTTCAGTAAAATCCTCAGCGTGTGGCAACCGATATCACCAGTTCTGTATTGGTTTACTATTCTTATTTGGCTACACGTATTGTGTTCATGTTTTGTTAAATTTGACCTGAATTTCTTGCAGTCTTGTGAGTGTTGCCGATTCATCGTCGACTCCTGAATTATCTTCCTGTCCTGCATCACTGAGAGCATTGAGAATATCGATCCGGTCCATTGCGTTTCCCTATACCGACCGGGGCCCAGCCATCACCGAACCATTTGTATAAATAATCAGATCATCTGGGCGAGCTTTGTTGTGATTCAACTGTTGGACTTCCACCTCCATAGCACCCGTGCTACTCTCTGCACTCCACAAAGGAGGAGCTCGTTGCCAGGGATTCCTTTCAGGTTTTTCAGCCAGTCCCACTGTTGCTTTGTAACTAATGAGCCCACGGCAGCATTTACATTTATTTTGTTCCAGCGTAGGCCGCCAATCTCCATCTGTATTCACTGCAACTCCATAGCATCATGATTCTAAAGACGCAGGTAAAGCACTACATGTTTCAATCCCTCCTTCACTAACAGACACTGCCCGTGTCTCTCATGTCTAGCGGGGTTTATCTAGCTGACATATCAAATGCAATGATATTTATCTGCATTCAGCTCATAAAGCATGATTTCATTGAAATCATATATCAATCTCTCTAGTATAAGCATTATCTGTATGGCACTACGACAATTAATTGTCACGCATTGGCTAAAAGCCAAAACCACGATGAGGAAGGTAATAACAGGAAAACTTCTGTTTGCAGATGATGCTGCAATTACCACCTACTCAGAGGTGGAGCTGCAATGTTTTCTATCTGCATTTGCTGATTCCTTCTGTGAGCTTGGTCTAACAATCAGCAAAAAGAAGACAAAGGTTATGGTGCAAGGTGTTAACGATAGACATGCAATATACGCTGATCATGAGAGCTGGAGACAATTGACCATATTACTTATCCGCGGCACTCAGTGAATACCAAACTATTGCTGAACCAAGATATCAACATCAGGCAAGGCAGCAACAACAATGGGCAGATTAACAAAAAGAGTCTGAGAGAACAGAAAATTCACACACACACACAAAAAAAAACTTTCTCTATCAGGGTTGTCTTCTTTTTTTTTTTTTATTATTTTTTTTTCAACAGTGCAATGTTGTCAACTTATTCGCACCAGGATGAACTATTAATTAGCGCATACATACGATGCCTAAGAAGAATACTAGGCATCAAATGGTATGATAAGATCACAAAAATCACAAACTATGAGGTACTGAAAAGTGCTTTGATATCTCTCTTATCCATCGCTTATGTGGTCGACACCTAGCCGTGCATTCATTGCGTTTAACCGACAGGGCTCTCTGTGGTGCACTATCTAGTGTAGTTTTTTTAATGCTGGTTCTGCTCCAACCTTTTTTCTGATATCATCGGGCGTTAATGTAACACTAAAGACAAAATGAATTAAAGTAACAGATCAATTTACTTGTTTAGGTAGTAAAACTGATAGTCAATGAAATACAGAGAGAGAAATTAGGACATGCATGGCAAAATCGCAGCTTTTAAAAACTTGAATGTTGAATGTTAAATTAAGAATTGACATCATAGCACTCGGGACGCTCCCATAAGCGCTCCAACCCCATCTTCAGCAGCAAGCAAAAAAGTTAAAATTTCGATGGTACCAGTAACTGTCTGGTTGTACATCGGTCTCGCCTTTCCCCTGAGTGTTTAGCATCGGCCAGATCCTCTGGGAACTCCCCGCAGCGCCATTCTCCTCAGACGGTAATGATCTATTAGTGACTGCACTGTTCACTCTCTCCCAAAGGGCCCTAACGACATTTAGCTTGTCATACATCAATTCACTACCAAAATTTGAACAAAACACGGAACTCTTAATTGTATAGTTATATAACCAAGTTATGTATTTTAAATTCTAACGCTATTTCAGTTTTAACATGCCAGTGAAATTTGGAGAGCCACTAAAGATATAGAACAATAGTTAAATGCATTCGAAAACAAATGTCTCAGGGGAATGATGAACATAAAATGTGATAAATTCAAGCACAGTGGAGAAATGAGAGAAATGTCTGGGCAATCTTTAGTATCAATAGTTGAATGTTGAATTAGGAATCGACATTACAACACTCGGGACACCTCCATAAGCGCTCCGTCCCCATCTTCAACAGCAAACAAAGAGTTAAAATTCCAATGGTACCAGTAACTGTCTGATTGTGTATCCGTCTCGTCTTTTCCGTAAATGTGGAGTGTTGGTCAGATCCCCTTGTAACTCCTCGCAGTGCCATTCTCCTCAGAACGTAATGATCTATCTGTGCCTCGACACTGTTCCCTCGCTCCCAAAAGGCCCTCACGTTAACAGTTATGGACCAGAACAGATGGCGCTATATTGGACACGTTCTGAGACGAACAGAGAGTCACCAACCATGCACTGAGTGAGTTAGTGACGTTCAACCCCACCAGGACCACACAACGAGGGACCAACACCCAGTGACAAAAAGTGCCACCATTCAGACAAGAATTCCTAGGCGCACGTCCCAGAAGCCCCATTCAACCGTTAGGTTATATTAGGGCCCTCGACGACAGCCCTGGTGGGGGCTTTAAAATAACCACACGCACAAAAAATGCCTCTCATATTTGGGCTGTATTCCGGCACTGGAATGGGAGATATAAGGATGCAGGAAATAAAGACGCTCAAGACAAACCCTAAGGCGAACGTTAAGGAGAGAAGCCAAAGGTGCGGGACTGCTGGATTCCATCCATAATATCGAAGTGATTACACAGGGCAGAACTGAATGGAGAAATAGACTGCGAACACTAAGTGATATTTAATGGCCAAACAGGATAATAAATAAAAAGATTTGTTGGTGGCGATGGTTCTATATAGCAATGTTGATCTCTTCTGATTTGACTGACTGACTGACTTTCTACCCCACCAGGACATCACACAAGCGATAAACACCCGATGACACAAAGTGCCACCATGCGGATGAGGATCGCCGTGGAGAGGTCCCAGAAACCGCGTTCAGACATTTGGCAATATGTATGACCTGCCTATATTGCGGCCCCTGGCAAAAGCCAGAGTAGGGCTTCAAATGACAAAAAATTTCGTCCTAAAAAGGACGAAACTGGATATAATCTCTTCTGATTTGATCCCGTCCACATTTTTATCCTCATATGAAATAAGTACATAGTAACTGATAAGCCTTGATTACAATTTTACAAAAAAAAAAAAAAAGCGAAACATAAGTATCTGTTGTGAATACAGCAGACGAAGGAAGTTCATTGAGCTGTATCTTCAGTTTAAAAACATAGGACGACAAAATCAGTAGTTAACCTTAGTAATAAAGAAAGCGACGCCTTCAAGAACCTCAGAACATTTTGGAGATGGGATGGAAGCGAGGATCGGTTATTTTAGAGGCGAGACCTTATGCCCACGTAATATGTCTGAAGTTTAGGCAGGAAAGATGCAACTTTTGTTTAGTGAGGTATAGTATAGTACTAGAAATAGATTATCCATTATATATATGTTAAAAATAATATGTTCAAGTAAATAAACATTAAAACAATAACAACAACAAATTGTTAATGATAATTTTAAACTAAAAAGTAATAATAGTAACAATGATTCATGATAATTAATCAATTACTCGTAAACCAGACCGTATGACGGTATGTTGTCAGGACGGTGTACTTAACGGAAGCAAAGAATAGCATCACTAAGCTAGCATGTTCATGTCATGTTAGTTGTTGGCATGAGACTAAGTTGACTAATTCAACCAGTTAAAAAAAAAAACTAGCAGCAAAAATCCAGGCTCTCCTTGCAATAACGGTCGCTAGTTGGACGGCGACGACCGTTTAGTCGGACTGAACTCCGACTAAGTGGCCATCACCGTCCAAGTAGCGACCGTTATTGCAAGGAAAACCAAAATCCAATAAGCGTTAAGACACATCTAGAAAGGGTTTAACTTGAGTTAAATAAAATGGAGGAAGCTGCAGGAGATGCGGTAGCTGCTTCTAGTGAGTCCCAGCCTTCTAGTTTAGCCCCCCTCCATCTTCAGTTATGGGTGTAGCGGAGTGGGGAAAACTCTTGGCGGTGACTTTAACTCGGCAGAAGCTTTTCCGCGGTATAGTCGCCGGAAAGAGGTCCCCAATTTACATATGACTGGGGCCCTGTTAGAGTATTTTCTTAGCCTCGATAATTTGGGGCCCTTATTCGGAGGATAGCCCAGTTTTAAAAAAATAATGTGTGGTTAAATAACCCTAAACCTAATCCTAATCTTATACCCTAACTCTAGCTCATGCTAAATATAGCTACCGAAAATATAGCTACCAGGTTTGTTTGGAGTGAATTAAAATTGAAGTACAAAATTAAACATCCTAACCTTCACAGTCCTTGGTGACAGCACTAGACATGCGACCTTAAATCCCCAGGCTCTCAACACCCTGTCTACGTAGCTCTAAAATGTAGTTCATACAGACAGTAGTGACATTTTTGTTCAGTCAGTGACCTGTATACAAAGGCTGCCCATGTGGGTTCCAGGGCCCTATTGTTGGGTGTAGAAGAATGGACCCATGGCCCCTAACAAGTATGTCATAAAGGGGGACTAATTAGGGTTGCTCCCTTCAAAGTTAGAGTGCATCTACCTGGGTGGCAAAGACCAATAGACTTCATGAAAATAAGCTTAATGGATGTGAGCTCAAACCATGTTCTGGAACAAGACCAAAGTTCAAAGATGGACAAACAACCATAAAGGTCTGTCAGAGTTTACAGTCGGTGAACGTAAAAAAATGATAATTAGAGGCTTGTTACTTTACTAATAATTTCTGCCAGCAGTAGCTGCCATGAAATTATCTTTGCTACCACCATATCATCGTCACGTGCCCTGTCGACTAGCATAGGCATTCATGCATCTGCACCAATCTCTGTCCCTTGTCGTCTGGATCAGTTCCTCTGATGATATCCCTCCGTGCCACCATATATTCTTTAACAATTGTTTATTTCAGTGCTGACAACATGAAAAAGTGTGGAAGCTGCAAAAAGATCTGGTACTGTGGAGTATCTTGTCAGGTAACCTTGTTCTTAATTTTCTTGTTCATCTCCTTCTTCATTTTCCTTCTCTTATTCTGTTGAAGTTTTTTCTTCTTTTTCATCATTATAATTTACATTCTTCTTCATCATCATCCTTTACATTCTTCTTCATCATCATCCTTTACATTCTTCTTCAGTATCATCCTTTACATTCTTCTTCAGCATCATCCTTTACATTCTTCTTCAGCATCATCCTTTACATTCTTCATCATCATCATCCTTTACATTCTTCTTCATCATCATCCTTTACATTCTTCTTCAGCATCATCCTTTACATTCTTCTTCAGCATCATCCTTTATATTCTTCTTCATCATCATCCTATAAATCCTTCTTCAGCATCAGCATTTTTTAGCAGGTTTTTTGAAAATTCTTGCTCTCATGTTGGCACACTGGAAAACTACTATGTCCCTTGCCATCTCTCCCACCTTGTGAACTGTCATGCCCAAGGTGTCTTTGATTTCCTCTGTCCTTTCATTCAGTGAATGTCATCACTAAGGCCAGATTTCTTTTAGTATGTTCTGACCAAATATTTGAAGAAGAAAAAAACATTCACACATTGTGAAATGGCCAGGATTCACTGTGAAGAGCCAGTCACATGTCATATGTTGTTTAGAACTGAAATAAGTCAACATATAGTTTCCAGCCTAAATTATGTGGTCAGACCAGGCCACTTCTTCCAGGCACCATATATTCCATTACTATTTTGTCCAAACAATTACGTTGTTTAACTTGGCAAAAGTGTTCCAGATTCTGAGAAAAAAAGTAAAGGACCCTTATCTGTGCCTCTAGGTGTTTTGGGCTTATATCGTTAGACCTATATTTTATAGACGGGTCGGTACGTGGTGGGAGATGTGGTTAGCAACATCCCAGCTGCCTTTACTTCCCAGGATTGTTTTTGGTACCCACTCAATGCTGGGTCCACCTGAGAGCCAAAGTCATTTGTGAAAAAGTATGGCTCCGTCAGGACCCGAACCTACGACCTTCTGATCTGCAGGCATCTAGCTGCTTCACCATGGTGACTCCCGTTTCTAAGAAATAATGAATACTATCTTCTTCTTCTGTGCACATCGGAAGATGTAATTGTATTTTGCCCATTTACAACATGGCTGTGGTATTTGCACCTTTCAACCGAAACATCTGACTTCTGCAGGCATTTGTTGACAGGGTTAGCCTTCTCGATATTAATACTATCTGTGAGCTAGTCCCCTCTGTATACTAACTTTTTACTTTACTTTCCATAAATTGTGTCAAGTTTTCAATCCTAAAATAAAATATCTTTCCAAAATTTGGGGTCGACTTGTGTGTCAGGTATAAAATGTGGCAGACAGGTATATGCCTAAATCAGAATTGTGAGCTAATTTTGTCTTAGAGTCGTCTTGTGCACCAGGTTGACTTGTACACCAGAATTTACACTGAATTAAATAGAGAATAAATTTAGAGACCAGATGGTCAGTGATGTTGGAAAAGACAAGGTCAGTGCTAGCAATGCACAGAGCATGTTAAGAAAGGTGGAGACTTGTATGCTCCATGATAAGTGGCTAGCATCGCTTCAGAGCTCCCGGGTAGTTAGTATCTTTTCGATATTTTCCACAGGAGGTGATGGTGTGTTGGGAAATGAACAGGCAGGTAGACTGGCTGGTTATGTACAACTTGATGGTGAATTGATGCATGACAAGCTAGACGTTGTAAGGGCCCTTTGGGGCCAGGGAACAGTGCGGGAAGCAGAGATTCATCACCATGGTCTGAAGAGAATGGTACTGCCAGGAGTGACCAGGGGATCGTGTCAACAATCAACACTCAAGGGAAAGGTTGGCCAGATATACAATCACACTGTTATTGGTACCATTGGAATTGGAACTCAGTGTTTGCTGCTGAAGATGGGGATGGAGCACTTATGGGAATTTCCTTGGTGCTGTGATGTTGATTCTTAAGTAAAAATTAAACAAGGAAATGCTTCAGTGAATGTTCTTCATTGGGAGATTTAACACTAAAATAGAGACGTTGATTTGTAAATACTGAATGCTGTTTTCACTATTTTAAGCTTTAATTCTATTTTCAGTGCTTTCATTTGTCTTGACCACTTTCTAAATTCCTTACTTCATTCAGTTAACAGTAAACTTGGATAAAGATCCAATTCAGAGAACACTCACTGACACAAATGAACAACTTTGAGTATTTAGGAAGTATAGTGTCGTAAACTGAAAAGTTAGAAAGGAGCGGCTGGCCAAGCAATTATGAACACTGAGTTCTCATTCGCGAGACCCAGGGTAGCAAAGCTATTCTGACCTACACAGTCCCTGATGATGGGCTATAGCTATGCAAGGCTACACAATGCAAACAATTTATGTGTGACAAACCAAAAGACTAAATCCAGATCAAGAGTAGCAATAAAGCAGCCAGCTTATTAGTAAACGGCACCTATACTGAAATATGTAGACCAAGAGGTGAAGAAAAGATGCTGGCGATGGATAGGACACATGTTGAGAAAACCTCAGAGCAATATAGCTAGAATGTCTTTGCACTGGAATCCACTGGGGCATAGAAATAAAGGAAGACCAAAAAAAAAAATCAATAAGTGGGGAACTAGAGAGTGAAGTTAAAAAGATGGGGAGGACATGGGGAGAACTAAATACAATAGTGAAGGATAGAACAACCTGGCGTGAGTTGGTTGAGAGTTATGCTCCATTGGGGGTTAGAAAGGCAGAAGAAGAAGATGCTAAAATATAAACATATACCAGTAGTTACTAAAAAAGCTCTAAAAAATATAACATTTTTACTAAGTCTATGCTACCAGTGTCAGACATGGACAGTGAATACTAATGAAAAAACAAATGAAAAATTTAAACATTACCCTAACAAATAATGTGTTTTTAAATTCTGTGTCACAGAAAGAAGACTGGAAGATTCATAAAGTTGAATGTCAGATCATGAGACGGGTTCCAGACACACCTACAGACAGCTTGCGCCTTTATTTGAGGCTTATCATTCGATACCTGGTAATATATTTTTTTACATATGATAGAAGTAGTAATAGAAATAAACTGTAGAAAAGCTGAGGCAAAGGTGTTATTTCACAGGATGAGGAGTATTCTGTGCAATTTATCTTTCTCAATTGAGGTGAAAAAAAGCTTTCTTGAAAGAAGTCTTTTTGTATTTATCCTCCTCCTCCTTCTTCTGCATTTTTCAGAAAATGTCATTGCTTTATACCTGTTTACTGCATGGTCAGTGTTTTAAGAAATGAGCTGGCAGATAGATTAGGCGGTTCTGCACCACTTGGTGGTGAATTGATGTTTGACAAAATAGATGTTTTGAGCGCCCTTTGGGAGCGAGTGAACAGTGTGGAATCACTAAAAGATCATTACCGTCTGAGGAGAACGGCCCTGCAAGGAGTTACTAGAGTATGGTCTGAGGAGATTGGCCCTGCAAGGAGTTACTAGAGTATGGTCTGAGGAGAACGGCCCTGCAAGGAGTTACTAGAGTATGGTCTGAGGAGAACGGCCCTGCGAGGAGTTACTAGAGTATGGTCTGAGGAGATTGGCCCTGCAAGGAGTTACTAGAGTATGGTCTGAGGAGAACGGCCCTGCAAGGAGTTACTAGAGTATGGTCTGAGGAGAACGGCCCTGCAACGAGTTACTAGAGTATGGTCTGAGGAGAACGGCCCTGCAAGGAGTTACTAGAGTATGGTCTGAGGAGATTGGCAGTGGGAGGAGTTACCAGCGGATCTGGCTGACACACTAGAAAAAGGCGAGACAGATGTACAATCAGATAGTTACTGGTTGTATCGGAATTGGAACTCTTTGCTTGCTGCTGAAGATGGGGACGGAGTGCTTATATGAGAGTCCTGAGTGCTGTGATGTTGATTCCTGATTCAACATTCAAAGCATGGCTGCGATGTTTGCAACTTTTGGCCAACACATCCGACTTCTGCAGGCATTTGTTGACCAGGTTAGCCTTCCTGGATGTAAGGTAAATGAATCTTAGACAGTTAGTCGATTATTGAGAAATTATGTGGAAGCAACAGATGTGTGGTTTTACAGATAAATTATGGGAAAATCATCTGTAAGGGTGAAAATATGGGGGTGACTGCAGTCAAGCTAATACAAGGAATTCCAGTGAAATGAGACTAAAAAGCTTAACGAGATCCGAATACTCTCCTCTTTGTTACATTTGTGTAGTTCACTTCATATTCGATGTTATTAGTGTTTTTCTGCTTTCCCATTTTGTTAAGCTTTTTAGTGACATATCATTGGAGTTCTTCAGCAAAGGACATGCTCGATTGATTGAGTTTTCCATTGCTACTGAACAGTCGGCTCTTGATACCACTGTTAAAACGAACGCAGGGCGGTCTGCTGCCAAATCCTCTGCAGCTGGTTTCGAACATGGCACCTAGGAATTAAAAAGCGCGTTTACAGTTCCTTTACCACAGATGACTATAAGAAGAAGAAGATATAATAGAGACGGCCATGCAAGTTATGTGATATTTATTTATATCTCTGAACTGGTTCTGGGATTCCTCCACCCCCTTTTCCCATATCCCCCAAAGTATATTGTAAAAGTCAACCATTTAGGGTGTTTCCTTAAAAGTCTAAATAAATTTGTATGAGAGGCAAGAAAACAACCATATTCATTCAAATAAGCCAGATCTGTAAAACGGATGTGCACATAAACAGTCCAGTTCTGGAATAAGACCAAAGTCCAGAAGTGGACAAATGACCAGAACATTTGGCCGGTGAATGCACAGAAGACAAATAAGAAATGTTATTATAGAGCTATAGAAAGAGAAAGAGAGTGAGAGAGAGAGAGAGGGAGGGAGAGAGAGAGAGCTATTGAGAGAGAGAGAGAGAGAGAGAGAGAGAGAGAGAGAGAGAGAGAGAGAGAGAGAGAGATTACTAGTCTGACTTGTAAAAATGTTGTCTGAAAAAAGTCCCTGTCATTGTAAGAAAAATTTGTCACTGTTTGGCTGAGATTTCACGGGACAGACATGAAAGTTCTATACAACCTGCAATTTCTTTTAAAATATTGAATTGATGCCTGAAAAGTCAATTGAAGTATAGAGATTGCACAGCATGCTTGCTGTATCATGGCATGAGAAGGTCTGGATAAAAACTGCTTCTGCTTGTGCATCACAGGGCAAAATGTTAGTGGAAAAAAGAATAGACCCTCTGAACCCTTAACAATCAAATCTTAAAAGGTGACTAATTAGGGGTGAAATCTTCAGAGTCGGAGAACATTTGCCTGTCAGGCAAGAAACCAGCAGTCTGCTAACAAATAAGCCACATTGATGTGCACGCGAAACTCAGGTTCTGGAACAAGGCCAAAGTCCGGAAGTGAATGAATAACCAGAACTCCAGTGAAGTTTGCAGCTGGTGAATGCTAAGAAAAAGATGAATACTTCTGGTTTTGAAAGGCGTAATACATTTTCTGTATGTTTTCTGGCAATACTAGGCAGGTGCTGCCAATGTTAAACATCCTGAAGATGAAAGTCCATGCTTGCGTACATTCAGTGAGCTCATGTCTCGTAAGTATGTTGCTTCCTTCAGGTTGTACGTTGTATTGACCCCATGTTTCAGATGTGAGCAGTGGTAAACTACTGAAAATATTATTGTCTAGTAAAACCACAAACAGCCAACATTAGCTGAGGTGGGTGTGCAGTGTTCTGTACAGGATGTTCAACCTAATTTTTGTTTTTAAAGATATGTAAATTTGTCAGTGAATAAATATGTACCCAGTGTGTCATCATCATCATCACCGCACACCTTAAAGTCTCCCCCTTTCTCTAGCCAGTTCTCCAGCCCTATGTTTTTTCACAACCAATACATCTTCAGTGTTGTGTATCCACCTTCACAGAGGCGTCCTCTGCATTGTCTGAAAACTGTACCCTCCATCGCTGTTCTCTGCAAGCTATGCGATGTAACATAGCTCAAATACCGCAGCTTTCAGAAGAGTGTAACATAGCTAATATACCGCAGCTTTCAGGAGAGTGTAACATAGCTAATATACCGCAGCTTTCAGGAGAGTATGGTGTTTAAGAAGTTAATTGATGATTTCTTTATAGATGTTATATAAAAAAAAAAAATACATAAAAAAAATATTTTTTGTGTGACCTGTGTAAAAACTGTTTTTAACTGACTTTGTTCTGGAAAATCTAACTAGATCATGACCTGTTTTATCTAGTGTTCTCTGGATGAAAGGGTTCAGACCTGCAAGAGTGTGTTGAGGTCTCTTGTTGTCTGACCTCTCACCTAAACGTACATGATTGTGTGAATTGATACAGGAAGATCTGTTGCTTGCTGGTGATATTTTGACCAGTTGAGGCAGCCTTTATTGAGCGATGACAACTGAAAACTGATTAGATTCATTAGATGTTCTTCTTATAGTCCATGCCGTGTGATGTTGGTAGTCTTGTCTATCTACAACAGGGGTTCTCAACCTGTGGGTCGTGACCCCTTTGGGGTTCACTGCAGTAATAAAGTAGCAATAAAAATAGTTTCATGGTTGTTGGTCACCACAACATGAGGAACTGTATTAAAAGGGTCACGGCATTAGGAAGGTTGAGAACCGCTAATCTACAACTTTCTGTCTCATGTACTTTCAGTAAACTCTGACACAGATGATCTTCTATGCAGTCAGTTCTCTTCATGAGTTAATTTCTCTGAAGACATCTTCATTATTAAATGTAGACAAATTAGACGAAGACACTCAGTATTTTATGGAAATATTATAGGTATTAATAGACTCAAAAACTTGGTGATGTTTGGCAAGATTAATGGAAAAAAGTGCATGTAAAAGTGATAAGTAGCACTACAATCGGAAAGAAATAGTCTGAAAAAAGTCGTCCAAGGGAAACATTATGAAGAACACTGGTCTGAACTCAGAGGCAAGTGTACTGGCATAATGCATGATTTTGGGGATGTGTGAAATGGCAAATCATGACCACCTACATCCGTGATCTCAAACCTTTTCAGCCCCTCCCTCCCCCACCCTGAGTATATGGCAGGACTCTAGCTCCCTCCCCGAGTATAACAAAAAATGATTAAGAAGAGTAAGAATGTGTCCGTAATCTATAAATAAATGCAGTGGTTATTATATTAATAAAATTTTTAATGATAGATGTAGAAACTACTCATGAAAACAAAAATACCCTTGGTTTTTTTGTTTTTTTAAATTGTTAAAAAAAATATTTCATTTAGAATAAAAATAGAATTAAAAAAAAAGTAATAATGGATTATTACAAGTACAGATTAACTCATTTCAAAATTGCTTGACAACCCCCCCCCCCCCCCCCCCCCCCCATCCCTTAGAACTTCCTCATGTCCCCTAAGGGTACCCCCCCCCCTCCCTTCCAGGTTTGAGATCTCTTGCCTACACGTATCGGCAAGAACATGATAATGATGTTCTGACGAAATTTGGTACTTTATCTTTGTAACGCGTTGACTGCTATTTTGATGACAGATGCAGACAAAATCAAAGTGGACCCCACGAGATCAGAACAGTTTAGAACTGCTGCGGACTTTCTTCGGGCCTATGCTCATGGAATTTTGCGGCTTCCTAGCGATGATGTTTTACTGGACATTTTTGGAAAGGTAAGAAAAATCTTTTTCTTTTTAGCGTTTACCAGCTGTAAATTCTGGCCTTAAGTTCTAATTGTTTGTCCACTCCTGGACTTTGGTCTTGATTCAGAATTAGAGTTTTGCATGCACATCCATTTTACAAACCTGGCAGACTTTTGGTTCCTTGCATGTGAGGCAGATGAGACTTTGAAGGAAACACCCCTGATTAGTCACCTCTAACAACATACTTGTTGGGTGGTGTTGCATGCTGATTTGGGAGAGGTAATATTGAATGAAGGGACAGAGTGGTATGATAGTACTTTCTGTGAGTTAACGGGGAATTAATGTCAACATTGGCCCGAGTATTGAGTGGAAGAGAGTGTTGACCAGTGAAAATGCATTATCATGTACGAGGCGTGCACGCACGAGAAAGTAGACGAGTGTGTTTACTGTGTGGGGGTTGACAAGCATGGATAATGAGACCCACAGTGACAGCGTGATTCTCATGCAACATTAGCCACTCACATAAGTGATCCTTGAGAACGCTTCCTTGAGCGTTAGTCTCGAGAACACCCACATGAGCATGTTTCCAGAGAACACCCACACGAGCGTGCCTCTTGTGTAACCTACAAGTTCGACAGGGATAAATTTGGGCTGAGTAGTCAGTCAGAGTCAGTCAGAGTCCAGAGTCAGAGCAAGAGAGAGCGAGAGAGAGAGACCAAGTCAGGGTCAGTGATTATCTCTCTTGAGTATAACAGACAGAGTACCGTACAACTATCAGGCATCAAGGTCTGAGTAAGGGTTGAGGTTACAGTACTGGTCGAAGGTATAGTCCCGCTGGCGAAGTAAGTCCAAGGGGACGGGATGCTCCAATAGTACCTGTTCTGGGTGACGACACAAGGAGACGCAGGGTCACTATGGAAACAGAACAGGGGAGGATGCTAACGAGAGCTGTGTGCTAGAGGGGACTTATGTTAGAAGTCCTGTCGGTCATCGGAGCCCTTCGACAGGCTGAGTGCTGTGTGCTTTTGGAGAACAGCAATGAAAGTCCGTCTCCAGTCAGCCGTGGTTGTCTGCTGAAATAATATTAAGGTCCAGTGGATGGGAGAATTAGTCCTATTCTGTACGGCGTGCCCAGAGTTGTGGAACACTGTAGGCCTTTTGGAGCTATAGTGGTCAGGAAGAGGTCGCTACAAGTTGAGAGAGAGCTAAATGAACTATGTGCGAATGTCAGTTGGGATCAATGTCTATGTCTCTGCAGTTTTGTTGATAGGAGGGCTTATGTATACCTTCTTTGTTCTGTCGAATAAATATGCTATGTGATGGAACTACTGTGGTCGAGTCCTGCTTCGAGTGAGAGGGAGCGAGAGTTGTACCTGCTGGACACTTGGTTGTGTGCTGATTAGTGTGTCACTCAGATAGCACACCACAGTTTGGGTGCCAAACAAAGCAATTGCAATCTACTTTACATAAAATTATTTCATAAAACCAAACTTGGAGCACAACAAAAAAGAGATGAAGCCTTATTACAGGTTTTCTAAAATAGTCTTACGACAAATCTTTGGAACCATCAAAGATGCAAACAGCGGGGAATGGAGAGTGAGAAGCAATAACAAAATTCATAATCTGTTTAAATCACCACTGATCACTGGCATCATGAGAGCTAATAGACTGAAATGGTTGGGGCATATTGAGGGAATGTCAAATAACAGAGAAGTGAAAACTCTATAAACAAGGGAAATGAATGGTTGTAGACCAAGAAGATGATGGAGAGATAATGTCCTGACAGACCTACAAACACTTGGTGTCACCAACTGGCAAGAAATGGCCAACCAGAGAGATGAATGGAGGCAGGTGATATCTGCAGCAATGAACCTCAAGGGCTCGAAATGCTGAAGAAAAAGAAGAAGAAGAAAACCAAACTGCCAAACAATGCTGAAGTTAGTTCTGCAACATCCAGTAAATGATGTGCAGCTAACTTTTTTTTTTTTTCAAATATCATTGAAGAAGAAGATATAGAAATTGTTAATTCTACAAGTGTTACCAGCCAAATGTTTTTATATTTTAAAATATAATTGGCTAAAAATGGCTAATACTTTTTCTACTTTCAGATGGTAATCAACACATTCACTATAGCAGATGAAATGTTACAAGATGTTGGTGTAGCAGTTTACACTAGGTGACAGTAAATTATATATTTTTTAAAAATAAGCTTTTATTAAGTTCAGTTTTGTTTGTTTATTTGTTTGTCTGGTACAGTTTTTACATATAGTTTTTTCTTCTGCCTTATATCCGTTACTGAGCATAGGTCCTCAGTTAACTCACGCTAAGTTCTCCTATCTTAACCAGCTGCAGCTTTCACCATATCCTTCTCCTGGGATTCTTTGTCTCCAACTTTCTTCTGTATGGCCTCCTCTTGTTATTGACTAAAATTTTGTCTCCATGTCTTTTAGGTTTCCTTTTATTTCTATTCGCCTGCGGCTTGCAAATAAAACACTTTCTAGTTATATTATTATTCTTTTTGCCAAGGATAGCCAGAAACCAGCATTTGCCTCCGTTACTAATCTGCTTAACTGGAATTTGTCCTTTAGATCTATCCAAAAAGTCTGGTTAATGTCATTGTTTCTGCTTGCACCTGCGCAGTGTGTTGGAGGTCAGGATATGTCTATATTTCCTATATTTACTAATGATAGTGTTTTTATGGTGGAGGGAGAGGGGGGCAAGGGGTCTTTATTGTGAACAAAATTACAAGGAATGTTGACACTATAGTTGTTTCTTAGCCTTTAGTAGTTAGGGTCAAAAAGTCATAGTTTGAGTCACCACACAAATTATTGTTCAGGTCCAAAGAAAGGTAGTCATGTAATTCTCCACTCCTTTTGTGTTTACTGAGTACTTTCTCTTCACATTGTTTTGTTGAAAAAAATGTTAATAGATACATTGAACATTTATTAGTGTAACCTGTATTTTGTTGAATTAGGAGTCAACATCATAACCCTGAAGCGAAGATATCCAATTCCATGGTACCAGTAACTGTCTGATTGTACATCCATCTCACCTTTTCCTTGAGTGTCGAGAGTTGACCACATCCTCGAGTAACTCCTGTTCTCTTGTTCTATCATCAGCCATCCTATCATAAATGTCATAATCCAGGGCTGCTAGCTTTAATTCGCAGCAAGAACACTTATCAAGGGAAAATACAAGGAATTGTGGAGAGAACAAACAGTAAACATCCACAAGACCCCATCAGCAAACTCAACAGAAAGCAACATAAAACAATTTTCCGTTTACGAACAGGACACTGCAGGCTCAACTACCACATGTGTAAAGTAAAGATTGTACAATCCCCACAGTGTGCCTGTCAAACAGGACCACAAAAACCTGAGCACATTCTGCAGACATGCCCACTCTTCATACAACTTCAAAAAGACACCTGGTCTCAAGAGCAAAGTGTGCAGAGCAAGCTATGGGGTACCATGAAGGACCTGCAACCCACCTGATGGTCTGATCTGAGCATACAGAACCAAAAACAAAGACAAAAGAAGAAGAAGAAGGTTAGAAACTGGCCTAGAAGGAAAGCTCTGACTGGCGGACAGATATGGAACTGCTCCTCTGATTCAGCAGCTTCGCCAGCATGCTTTATTCCAAAAGTCTCGGAGTAGCTTTCATTTGGAGTTAGAAAGCAGGCAGAGACAGAGATCATGCTGCATAGGCAACACGTGGTCTCTGCAGTACTGCCCAGGCTTTGTGCTGTGGGGAGGATGCACTTCTTCTCTGGCCTTAATTGATTATCACCATGGACCGTGATTCCGATGCCTTCCTAAAGCATAATGCAAACCTATGGACAGGAAAGTTGACATCATAACTATCCTAGTTAACTAAGTCTTCAGGATGGCAGATCATTCCTTTTCTTCTTCTTCAGCATTCCGAGCACTCGAGGTTCATTGCTGCAGAAATCATCCGCCTGCATTCATCTCATCAGTACAAAAGCAGATCATATGCTGTTAGTAAATAAAATATGTATGATATAACATACATGTCTAATGTCTTCCACAGCCCGTCGGTGTTAGACCATCGTTGTTGGCCCAATGCTGTTGCTACATTTGATGGAAGGAAAGTGATAGTTCGAGCTGTAGACAACATCACCGGTGATTCTTTGTCAGATGTGAGTCTTGAGTTGCAAACATGTATTAAATACTGGACATCTTTAGGTGTATTGGGTATATGACGCTAGCCCCAAATTTGTATTTGCTCATTGAAGGGTGTGATATGTTCAGCATAACACCAGCTACTGTACTATAACCTGATACCTGTTTTAAGCTGGGTACATTTAGGATCAGCTGGTTGAACGCTGGTTCAAATCCTTTGTTACAGGTTTTTTGTGTGTGGCTGGCAGGGCACAAATAAATTGGGCTGGCATAGTATGTTATGACTACAGCAGCTATGCAAAACCAAATCTTCAGGCTCAAAGCAACTCCCTGCCTTCTTTTTGCCAGCACCCCAAAATTTCAGTTGAATTATCGACTGTTTTTTCCTGGTGGGGGTTCTGGGACCCCACAGTGGGGAAAACAAGAATAGACGCAGTGACTTCACAACAAGCTTGTTGTAGAAGTCGACTGGTAGGGAGCTTTCTTCGAAGTCAGAGCGCATCTGCCCGAGCGGCAAGGTAGGAACAACTACACACAAGTAAGCCAGTAAAATGGTTGTACACCCAAAACTCAAGCACAGAGCCAAAGTCCAAGTGGATGAACAACCAGCACTTTTCACCGGAACTTACATCTGATAGCAGAGAAGAAGAAGAAGATTGATCAATTTGTTTCCTAAATGATGCTACCTGAAGGTTAACCACCCTAAGATTAAAAAACAATCTCAATCTAAAGGGCAGATTACATATACCCTGTTTAACTTCTGAAGAAGTTGTAATCAAAGCACCCATAACGGCTTCACCAGCACCTTCTAATCTGCAGTACTGTGTCAGTAAAGACAAGTAAATAGACAGTAATGCAGGCAGTAAATAGATTCAGTAACCTGTGTTTGCAGTGTGTGGGAGTACTTAACAGTTTAACAAACATCTCAGCCTGATCGTATCGTATTGTATAAAATCAAACAAAAATTCCAAGCTTAGTCCTTTTTTAGCCGCCTGATGGCCTGCTTTTTCAAGGACGGTTCCTTGCTATCTTATTTTATTTATCTTCCTTTGTGGTGAGCAATTTCACCTGAGTTTGTTCATTTGTTGCCTAAGTTTCTCAGCCTGACTGTGGAATCAAACATTTGACCATCAGATTGGCAGGCAAGCACTATTACAGATGTTTCATAAATCATCACCCACCTTTAACTGTTCCCTCTAGTATAGCTTTAATATTGAAAACTGTTGTCTGGCTAAATGTTGAACTTAAAATGGATGAATTCAGGAGTGGTGAAAAAATTAGAGACATGTGTGGGCAGCCATTAGTAACAACAGTTATGAGGCCAAGAAGATGTCTCTATATTGGACACGTCCTGAGAAGAAATGAGCAGAGAATCACTAAACAGGCACTAAAATGGGAAATAAACGGGACTGACGAAGCAAGGACGTCCAAAAGGAACCCTAAAAAATTATGAGTGAGGTCAAAGGTGCTGGAGTGGATTCTGCTATGATATCAAAGGGATGATGATATATTCTCTTCTGCATATCCAGGTCTGCAAGGAGTCAATTTGATTTTCTTATTCCTTGCCTAACTTGATTGTTGATTATTCAAGTTCTGGCACTATTTGAAGGGTTGAGTATACATAACATCTGACACATTTTGATGTGTTATCTCAGGCACATTTTAAAAGTTATCTCTTTAGATATCTAAATGACTGAAAATCAAGTTCGTAGTTAATTTTATGTGGGCACGCTTACCAGGGACTAGTAACAATGATTCATCCCTGCAGGGACCACAGTTTAGTTCATGTTAACTGTGTGTTCTTCTTCTTCTGTGTTCATCCAGAAATGTGATTGCATTGTGCCCGTTTACAGCAGGGCTGCGATATTTGCTCCTTTCTGCCAAACTATCCGACTTATGCTGGTATTTGTTGACCGGGTTAGCCTTCTCACAGAAGCCAGCTTCACCCCTCAGAAATGAGATATCAGAGAAGGGTGGTCCAAGTGAAAAGAAGGGACAAAGTCCATAAACAGACAATACGTCAAGATCTTGATACCCAGTCCTTACAAACCCGAGTGGATCAGTCACAGTTACAATGGTTTGGACATGTATGCAGAATGGGAGAAAATCGGCCACCATGACAGGCATGGGAGGCTAGGACCCAGGGAACCAGACCTCCAGGGTGACCCAGGGTCCGCTGAGAAGACAACATCCGACAGCCCCTGACTGAGAGACGACTGGTAAGGAACAAAGCTAGAAAGAAAACCACTGATAGAGAAGTCTGGCACTCTCTCTGGCAAACCTCTACACCCCAAGGTAGAAGAGGAGCGACTAAGTAAATAAGTTAGCCTTTCTGGGAACTGAGTATTCTTCTTAAGTGAGTTCATGTTAATGAGGTTTTCTGTATTTGTTTATTTTTCTTATATGCTCTTAATTGTATTGTATATTTATTATGTGAGGTATTGTTTGTGTTATTCTTATTGTAAGTGTTGCTTCCTGCGCCAGGTTTTCTTGTGTTATGTGGACCCTCTAGCTACGACCGCAGAGAGGAATGAGCAGTTGCAGCAGCAGTATTACTTCACTTGTAACTGTGACCGGTGTCAAAACAAAGAAGTGGTAAGTCATTGAGTCATACCATCACCACCACTTATGTTTTCATCCTTACTGTGGTCTTTACTATCATTAAAAGTCACAATAATGTGTTTGTAATCAAACCTAAGATCTTCCTCCGAAGTCGGAGTACATCTGCCGGAGAGGCGGGGAACGAGTACTGCAAACAAATAAGCCAGTAAAACGGATGTACACGCAAAACTCAGGTCAAGGTAAAAGCCAAAAGTCCATCTTGGACGAACAACCGCGACTTACCGCCGGAATTCACAGCCGGTGAACAAGAAGAAGAAGAAGAAGAAGAAACCTAAGATCTTTGCATCTATAGTGCCATAACTGAATGAATGAATAAATGAATGAATGAATGATTGAATCAAGAATTGACATGTCTGCACTCAGGGCATTCTCACACATGCTTTATCTCCTTTGGTAGCCAGCAAAGAGTTGACATGCTAATATTACCTGTTTAAAAGTCTGCCAGTATTTCTGATTCAGTGTTGAATATCTTCCAGAATCTTTTGGATTCTCTGTCTGTTCAGTTGCAATGTCTGATCACAGAGAGCCTTCATTGTGTCTGCTTTATCATAAAGTAGCTCACCACCCTTCAGATTGGCATCAGCCAGTCTATCAGTGCCATTACAATACCATCACTGTTAGTATCATGACTGATATCACCATCATTATCATCATCATTTTTAAGTATGTAAAATAACTTCTTAGAATGTTTTAAATTCCTCTTCTTCTTCGTGTTCACCAGCTGTAAACTCTTGTGGAAAGTTCTGGATGTTCATTCAATTTTGGACTGCAGTCCAATTCCAGAACCTAAGTGTTACATGTGCATCCGTTTTACAGATCTGACTAATTTGTATGCAGACTGCTGGTTCCTTGCCTCTAAAGCAATTGCACTCCAACTTCAAAGGAAGCTCCCAATTAGTCGACTCTTACGACATGCTTTTGGCTAGGGTCTGTTCTTGTTTCCCCCTATAATAGGGCACCGGAACCCACACAGGGATGTTTGTTATAAATGAAGAGAAATAACAATATTTTCTACAAGAATGAATACAGAATAAATAATAGTATTAACGCTTTCAGTCACAGGTGTCTAGCATCAGAGGCCCAAGGGGTAGTAAAGTAAAGAGAGACATAAAACCAATGCATCTTGGGTTCATTGGGCTTCTAGTTATCATTCTATGACCTATGAATGTATGATATGTTCCTTGGGACTTAGAGAGTTAAACAGCTTTTTCTCTCAGAAAATGAATTAGCAAATCCTGCAGTGGCTTATAAAGAACAGTAATCAAAAGCACAGGGCAGTGGAGATACCTTGGACATGAGACAGGGGTTGACCAGCATAAAGGGTACTGAAGATACTTTGGACCTGCAGCAGGGAAATTACCATGGACTGATTGACTTTCGCAGAAAGCAATGGTGGGAGTGAAATTCTATAAAAGGTCTCTCATGTGAGAATAATGATGATATATATTTGTTTGGGTGGTGTGTTTGTGTGAGTGTGTATGTGGGTGATGTGTTTGTGTGAGTGTGTATGTGGGTGATGTATTTGTATGAGTGTATGTGGGTGATGTGTTAGTTTGTGTGTGTGAATTTGTGGAAGCTAGTTGGAGAGGGCCTAAATGAAATGTGAGTTGCACTATTATACATTTAATTTTTATTTGTACATTAAGTGTATGAGGGAAAGCGAAAGACAGACAGAGAAGGAAAGAGAGAGAGAGAGAGAGAGAGACTGAAAGAAAGGAGGAAAGAAAGAAATAAGAAAGGAGGGAAAAAAAAGCGAATGAAAAATAAGGAAATAAAGAATTAATCTCATGAACACACATACACTGAAATGTAACATATTTTCTCTACTGACCAGGATTCCCTGATGTGTTCGGTTGAAGGCAGTAGTCCAGGTAGGCCAGTGTCCGCATTTAACTTTCTTATATTTGCTGAAAGTTTGAACTCCCTGTGTGGGTTCCGCTGGGCCCCATTGTGGGGGTAAACAAGAATGGACCAACTGCCTCCCCAAGAGGCATCTCATAAGAGTGGACTAATTGTGAGCTTCCTTGAAAGTTGGAGTTCATCAATCCGAGCGACAAGGAACCAACAACTGCGCATAAATAAGCCAGTAAAAATGGATGTACACATAAAACTCAGGCCGTGGCACAAAGCTAAAGTCCGGTGGATGAGCAACCAGGTCTTTCTACCAGAGCTTACAGCCAGTGAACAAAGAAGAAGAAGAAGAATGTTTTAACTATGCGTTTTGTAATGGTAGTAACAAATGAAGGATGCTTTTCCAGGCCTTCATGTATATTGGGCCTATCGGGCTAGACCTACATTCTATAGAGCAATCAGCACTCAGGGGGTGATATGGTGTGACGTGCGGTGCTTCATTGTAACGAGTGTAAAAGTGACTAGGGGGTGTCGCAATGTAACAAATGGCATCAACACTTAACATGCCACTGGCCAAGAGTAACACAACATGATGAATGCTGAAGCTTCCAACGTAGCAGAACGAGAACTCTCTTTAAAAGTTCCATTTGTGTATTGACAATATCGATAATCGACACAATGAGAAAATATGTAAGCAACAACTCACACTCGCTCAACCAAAGCAGCTCGCTCGTACATCCATGTATTGATATGTCCTCACGATAGGTCGCAGTCCGACCTTGAGATCCAGGCGATTATCTTCGTCCTCTGACAAGTCCGAATTAAGCAATGAAAGTATACCGGCTTACTGCCGAGAATGTAATGTTCACCAGCTTCCTGCTGAGGGCTATCTTGGAATCCCGGGGTAAAACGTCCTCAAGGATCCAACTTCATATAACGTTTGCTTCCGTGGGATCCCGGGGTAAAGTGTCCTCAAGGATCCACACGTCCGTCTCCTTCGGACTATAAACATCAACTGCGAAGTATACCGGCTTACTGCCGAACTGTGGCATCCCGGGGTAAAACGTCCTCAAGGATCCACCGTGGCATCCCGGGGTAAAGCATCCTCAAGGATCCATACCAAGGCCGGACCAAACCGTCCGCCTTGGTCAAACTTCGACTTACATCTCCTAGAATACAATTCCTTCACAACCTGACGTATTGTTTTGACGTCTTATTTGCTCACTCCGTACTGGTGCGTTATGGTGCACATTCGCACGCGACAGCTGGTCAACATCACGCCGGGTGCCTTTACTTCCCAACACTGTAGCTGGTGCCTATTTAAGGCTGGGTACCAGGCGAGTGTCTAGCCTCTACACCACGGTGGCTCTTTTAATGGTAGGGTCAGTTTTAAAAAAATTGAAGGGGGGGGGGGGGGATCCCTTTCCAGACCATAAAGCTAGATATTTAGTGTTAGCCCCAGAATACCATGAACCAAAAAGAAAAGAAGTACAAACATCCTAAAAAATCTGAATATCAAGGAGGATTGGCTAGTAACCAGCAGCTTGCCTCAGAAACTGAAATATATTGGCCATATCAAGCACCACTGGGGATTAGAAAGAATGGTAGCAGAAGGCATGGTGCCAGGAAAGATTGGCAGGAGCCAGCCAATACAAAGATGGGCTCAAGATATAAGTCACACATTGGGTTGGAAAGCACATGAGGCAGATCTGGCTTGAGATGAGAGTTTTTGTTTCTGGCATTCTGTAATGATGAGAGTGATGTTCTGCAAAGGACCCGCTACATGATGAAAATGAATGTTAGCCCTGTACAAATAGAACACAAATGGCTAGCACAGGACAGTGCACCACAGAGAGTCGTGTCACACCATCCCTGCTTAGTCACCCCTCAGCAACATACATGATTGTTTGCATTTTATGGCTTCAGTTCCCCGTGTGGGTTCTGAGTTTCCTTATTGGGAAAAAAATCCATTAAAAAAAACAAATTTGACCCACTGCTTTCCTAACAAGAATATCATAGGGAGTGACTAATTAAGGATGTGTCCTTTAGTGTCACAATGCATTTGCCTGAGTGAGGCACAGAAAACTCAGCTTTTTCTTATTTTTCCTTCACTATAATTATCTTCTTCTTCTATGTTGGGGTTTACGGCTAGTGTGTGATATTTGTGCCTTTAGGCCCAACATTTCCGATCTAAATGAACCCTTAATTAGTCACCTTTTATTTCATACTTGTCTAACCTCCCCCTCCCCCTGGACCCCTCACAAATGGGGCTGTGAAAGCGTCTGACATTATACAGAGGGAATTGTTGGTCGTTGAAGATTCGATTGGTAGGCAAAGACTCATGATATTCACTGGAAGAGATGTCATGTAAATTGTTTTCTTCTTGTTTTATCTGCAGAAGATCTCAGAATGGTGAAAGACTGTTTGGAGAAGATTGAACGGATGAGGAAGGAACAAGGTCAGTTGGTGATGAAAGCGGTTTTTTTAAAAGGCAAATTTTTCTTCACATTTACTGGTGTAAACTATGGCAGAAAGTTCTTTTGAACAAATCTCACTTAATTGTATGCAGATTGTATAGGGAGTAGGCTAATTCATTATAATGGAAGCGACGTCCGTGGCTTAGGCCTTGCAAGTCTGACTCGTAACTCCAAGATACATGATCAAAACTCACTGCTGGCTGCGTTCATTTTTAAAAATCATTTTATGGGGAGTCGCAGGTTGACCCAGCCTTAAAAGGGTACCAGGATGTATGTCCTGGGGAAGTAAAGACAGCCGACGTAATGCTGACCACATTACCGACCTAATGCATATTGGTCTGTAAAAATATAGGTGCTCTTTCCTTATGCCTGAGGCGTAAAAGGGATCTTTACTCTTACTGTACTATTTTACTCATGACTCTTTGTTTAGAACATTAGTTTGAGAATTTTAGCTTACACAGAACATTATCCTCATGTGGGTTTCAGGCCCCATTTGGGGAGGGGGGTGTCGTGAGGTGAGCAGCCAGCCTACACAATGGACAAGTGATAGGAGGGGGGGGAGGGGTGGACTCACTGCCTCTGAACAAGCTTGAGGTGTCGAATTAGGGACCTTTCCTTTGAAGTCGGATTGCATCTGCTTGAGAGATGAGGAGGAACCAACAGATAAACCAAATCTGTAAAACAGATTTGCATGCAAAACTCAAGTTCAGGAAAAGATCAAAGTCTAGAAGCAGACGAACAGTGAGAACTTTTTGCCTGAGTCTACAGTCTGTTAATGCTAAAGAAGAAGAAGAGAACATTGGGTAGATAATCAAGCATACACAGAAAGCTGAATGGGTAGACCACAAGGCAGACCAAGATGATGGTTAGAGAGACATACAGGCAGACCTAGAAACGAGTCACCAGCTGGAAGGATAAGGCGAATCATAGAGATGAATAGAGGTAGGGTAGTAACTGCAGCAGTGAACTTCAACAGCTCAGAATGACGAAGAAGGATGTAGTTAATCAGTACTTTTGCGCATTGAACCACATTCCCTGTGTGGGTTCTGGGGTCCCGTTGTGGAGAAAACAAAAATAGACCCAATGCCTCCCCAACAAGCATGTCATAGGAGTCGGCTAATTGGGGGCATCTTTCAAAGTTGGAGTACATCTGCCTGAGAGGCAAGGAACCAACATTCTGCATACAAATAAGCCAGCTTAGTTAGTTTGTTAGTCTTTCCTCTTCAGTCTAAGGCGGCACATAGGGCATCAGTCATAGCTGACCATGTCTGGCAGTTTGTTGCCACCTGTTTCAGTTCATGGATGTTCATTAGGCCCATAGTTGAGCCTTCCCTGATGATGGTTCTACTCTTTTGGTCTTCCCAATTGTCTTTTTTTTCCTTTCTGGTGTCCTTATGAGGGCTTGACGGAGGATGTCTGGTTTTATCCATTCTAAGTGCATAGCAGAGGTATATCACTAGCTTCCCTCTCCAGCAGTGCCACACAAGAGGAGTGAACAATGAGTATGACAGTTCAGCATCCACATACCAAATACCACACTCAGGGGCATGCTTGAAATACAGGTTGCTTGTCTACTGCGATGTAGGCATACCCATCCCTATACTGAGACTATACATCACAAGTATGACGATGATGAAGTTTAGCACCTACATCTTGCATATCCAGCATGGGTGGTTCTGGTCTTCTTTTTCTTCACCATTGCAAGCACTTGAGGCTCATTGCTGCAGAGATCACTCACCCCTATTCATCTCTGTTACTGACCCTCTCTTTTCACTTGGTGACTCCAGGTGTTTGTAGGCGGGCTGGGATATTATCTCTCCATCATCCTTTTGGTCTGCCTCATGGTCTTCTGCCATCCATTACACTTCTAGTGTACAGTTCTTGCCTGTCTCGGTAATCTGTCATCCACTCTATAAGCCCCAGCCATGGCAGTTTGTTAGCCCTCATGATGCCACTGCTTTGTAGTACTTTATTAAACAGATTTCATTGTAACTCCTCAATATGCATTCTGCACTTTTACATCTTTGATGGGTCCAAAGATTCATTGTTTTATGTATAGCTACTGCTGCTGCCACTTTTATCCTATCCAACACCAGCGTCTTTCCTCACCTCTTGATTTACTGGAATTTGTTCTGACCTCTCAGAGCTCCACATTAATGATTATCGTGCAGTTAAATTTCCCCTGTTCTGTGCAGGCACCTGTTTGTAGTTAATTAGTAATTGTTTTCATTGTTCTCCATATGTTGGCTCCATACAGCAGTACTAGTCTGACGTTAGAGTTTAGTATTAGTTTAAATTGCTTTGACCTCCACAAATTCCTAGTCCTGTGAAAATTGCTGTTGCCCTTTTTTTAATAATATACCTGGCATACTTTAATTTTGTTTCAGCCAAACCCAAAGACATATTGGCTGAATGTGAGCAATGTCTCAAAAGAACCACATTGCCGTTTGGGAATGTCTTTCTTGTGAGATTAGTGGGCAAGGCTTTTGATGCTGCCATTGATGCTGAAGAATGGGAGACAGCACTTCTGTTGAGCATCAAAAACTACAAGCCTTATTCGTGAGTTTACGCATGTGATTTTGTTCTTCTTTGAAGTCTCTATACTGTCTCTGTTATTGGGCTACAATAAGTTGTGTCAGTTGTATATTCTATACAGGATGTCACACAACCAACCCTATCCACCCTGATGTGGATTCACACTCAAGACCTTCAGGTTGGCAAACTTCTAGCTGCTACACTCCCTTGGCTCCAACCACAAATAAAAATAACCCGGGAGGGGGGGGGGGGGGAAAGGGGGTGGTGGTCTCGAGGCATGGTGTCCATCTCAAGTGCTGGAGGTCCCAGGTTCAAGCCCCGGTGAAGGCTGGCATTTTCCCCTGATCTCTGGATAGTAAGATCGGATGCCCATGTGTATTGTTTCACACGTAAAAAAAATCCCTTGGCAGTTGGAAATCAACCCAAAAAAAAGTATGCTTACGGGGTTGCGCGGGCAAAATTTGGAGTTTAAAATCTACTTATCAGCATCCTCGCCGGTGCTACAGAGTTCGTGCTCTGCGCTGAGATTCTTCAGACTCAGGCTTGAGTCGAAAGTAGAACAGATCACTTTTGGGTTACTACCCTTGTGCCATGATGTTGATCTGTCGTCTAAACCGACCATAATAATAATTTAACATATGACTGTGAATCCTGGACAATTAAGAAACAAGCCAAACAATTTCCTGAGGCCTCCGAAATGTGGTGTTACAAAAGAACTCTTAGAATTCTTTGGACAGCCAAAAAAGAGCCACCCAAATGTGTTGGAAGAGGCGAGAACTTGAAAACAACTAATCACAAACATCAGAGACAGTTATTGGTCATGTTATGAGAAGAAAGAAACTGGAACATGTGACCACTGGAATGATCTGTGGAAAAAGAGACAGAAAAAGACAATGCAAGAAGATTCTTGACAGTCTTTTGTCAGGGCATGGAGGGGTGTTAGCCCACGGACTGATACATGCTGTTGAAGATCACACAATATATGTGGCATATAGTGCAGTATCTGTGTAATGTTGCATAGTATCTGTGACATAGCACATTATCTGTGACATACAGCAGTTTCTGGGATATATAAAACTGACATATAGCACAATACCTCTGGCATATATCACAGCATCTGAGACATATATCACAGGATATGTGACATGTGCCATTTAGCACAGCACATGTGAAATTTAGCACACTATATGTGACATATCACCATATCTAACATGTAGCACACTATCTAACATATAGTACAGTATTTGTGACATAGAGCACAGTATCTGACATATAGAACAATATATGTGACATATATCAAAGTATATGTGACATGTGCCATATAGCACAGCACATGTGACACAGCACACTATATGTGACATATCACCAAATCTAACATATATATAACACTATCTGACATATAGTACAGTATTTGTGACATACAGCACAGTATCTGTGACACAAATCAGTATCTGCGAACACAGAAAACAATAAGAAATGCTGTTTTCTGTTGCAGAATACTTCACCACCCCTTCAACCCATGTGTAGGGTACCTGCTGGCAAATATGGGCAAACTGTTGATGTTGGTAGGGAGGCTGTCTGAGGCTTTCCTGCATCTGAAAAAGGTAAAGTCCCTTGTGTGGGTTCCGGTGCTCCATTTGTGTGTGTGTGTGTGTGGGGGGGGGGGGGAGAGGGTGGAGATAGACTGACTTGCCCCCCTAACAAACATATTGTAGAAGTGGGTCTTTCCTTCGAAGTCAGAGTGCATTTGCCTGAGTGAAGAGGAACCAACTATCTACATACAAATAAGTCAGATCTGTAAACTGCATGTGCAAGGAAAACTCTTCGGGAGTTGCCATGGCGTAGCAGTTAGATGCTCACGTGCTGATCAGAAGGTTGTGGGTTCGCTCCCTGACATAGCCTGATTTATAAGAAAATTGCCTTCACTCCCAGGTGGACCCATCCTTGAGTGGGTACCGGGTGCAGTCCCAGGAAGTAAAGGTGGCCGGCAGGATGCTGACCACATCACCCATCTTGTGCCGATTGGTTTGTAAAAAATAAAACCGGTCTTATATGCTCGATACACCTAAAGGCTGGAAAAAAAGACCTTTACTTTGAAGCAAAACTCTGGAACAACAGCAGAGACCAGAAGTGGATGAACCACCAGAACTTCCTTCTGAATCCAACAACTGATGGACACCAAGAAGAAGATTCATGCAGTCTTCAGTCCAGAAGCTGAGGTAATGTATTTGCTGGCCATTCACATGTCAGTCCAACAGTCTTGGATTCATATCTACACCAGGCAGATTTTGGAAACAAAAATGGACTTTGGTCCACAAAGAGACCCAGCCTTATATGTGAACTAGGAAATATCTTGGGAAGTAAAGGTGGCTAGCCTGATGTTGTCCACCTCAAATACTGATTAGTCGATATAAATAGTAGTCTGTCATCTTGAGCCTGATGTCATCAACATCAGGTGCCTTGCCAAGTGGCATGGGTGATCATGCCTCTCCACAATGTATGATCTGTAACTGTGTGTGTCAGTTCATCTGTTGAAACCCTTCTGTGCCATGACAAAAGGCTGTCAAGAATCATCTCTCTTTGTCTTCCTCTGTCTCTCTTTCCACATATCTTTCCAGTTGTCACAACGTGTTCCAGTTTTTCACTGGTTATATATAAGATGATGACTCTCTTTCTGATGTTTGTGATCAGTTGTCTTCGAGCGCTTGCCTCTTTCGAAACATCTGGGTTGCTCATTTATGGCTGTCCAATGAATTCTAAGGATTCTTTTGTATATAACCACATCTCCAAGGCCTCAAGAAATTGTCTGGCTTGAGGTCCAAGATTCACTGGATGTAGCACTGGCATACAAAAAGGGTCTGTTATTTAAGCAAAAATATTAAGTCCGACCCTTTCTTCAGTTTTCTGTTTTCATACAATGTGATCTCAGGTCAAATTTCTGCAGTGGATATGACAAGGAAATGAGCTTTTCTGTTTGTTTGTTGGAAGCACAGTTATACAGTATTGCTGGTTTTCAAACCACGCGTTCAGTCTCATGACTTTCTTTTTTAGACACACCTTCTCAAATTTTCCCTTTCCTGCTTGTTCTGGGTCCCCATTTTGTTGGGGGAGAGGGGGGGGGGGGAACAAATTGTTTTGTCTTACCAAGCAAGGTCATAGTAGTCAACAAATGATGAGTTTGCAGAAATTGGGTGAAGTGGACCCACATGTGCAGATATCACAACCTAACTGTAAAGCACAACACAAGGTGCCAACTAAACAATTAAGAATAGATGCAAAAGAAGAAGAAGACATTTTCCTAAATTGATTTACCTGATATGAACTTGATTTCAGAATAGTTTTCCTAATTAAAAAAAAGTGTTATGATTAAAGTTCTGAATTTTCACATAATAACAGCAGTAATTGTTAGTGATTATTTTCACTTGTACCTTTTTTACATAAATAAATAAATGAAATTCTTGTTTCATATGAGGGCGGAGCAGGTAATAATTTAAGTATTACAGACAACCAGGTTAACACAAATTCCATGGGACCCAAAAATCGAGAATTTAGGCTAAACGAAGACACCATAGGCTAATTATAGAACATCCTGCTGGGACCAACATGTTGTTTATATTAACCGATTGTTCTTTGTAAGTGAGTTTGTGTTAATGAGGTTTTATTCTGATTCACTCAGGCTTTAGAAAATTTCACTGTGTCACTGGGAGAAAATCACTTCCTGTACAAGCAGGTCAAAGAGATGATGGCGCAGTGCGAGGCAGAGATGGACAGCCAGGAGCAGGAGAGGTGATTAGTTCCTGGGCCGACCGGGTGAATCAGTGGTGATTAGTTCCTGGACCGACCGGGTGAATCAGTGGTGATTAGTTTCTGGACCGACCGGGTGAATCAGACAATGTGTCTAGGAGTGAGGATACATTTATTGACAGCAAACACATCTGCAGACAAGAAGGGACCAGGCCACCATCTACAGACTTAGAACGCAACATACTTCGTTATATGGCGACTTAACTCTGTAGTAGTTTACCTGATGAGGTGCAGTTTAAAATGCCAGGCAATAAATTGTGCAATGTATTGTTTGTGTCCGCATTGTTTAAAATAATTAGAAATATATTTTATAATAGTGTTGTGTCAATGGCTTCTTGAGGGCTAAGATACTAAAATGGCTGTGGCTTATAAAGAGAATGTAGATGTCACGAGACGGTGGTGTCTGCCTTAGGAGAAGAAGACTCAACATGAGTCAAAATAAAGTACAACTTACCCATACAAAATTGGTGAACAGGTTCTTCTCAGTTAAAATATATCAGAAGTGACAGAGAAGACTTTCAGCCCGTCCTCGGTATCTTGAGCTGTATGAAGGTCAGCCCGTCCTCTGCTATCAGGAGCTGTATAAAGGTCAGCCCGTCTTCTGGCATCAGGAGCTGTATGAAGGTCAGCCCGTCCTCTGCCATCAGGAGCTGTATGAAGGGTACGCTAAGATTCAATATGTCTCAGTACTAGAGGCAAGAAAGCCCATAGAGACGGTGGTTTGGCCATGGAAAATGGCCTCCCAGTGATATTACCATACAACTCATTCCAGGTGGATTTGAGGCTGAATAGGCCTCTGTTTAGTGTAACCTTACTCATACTTATGAAAGATATACTATATGTTTACAGGGGATTATTCCACATTCAAATTTGTGTAATTAGCATAGTGGGGTACAGGTTAACTTGTGGCCACAAGAATTTCCTGCTTTTCTTCAATTTAGCCATAATTAATGTGGTTTTGTTGAGCCGCGCATAGCTAAGTGATGTAATTATAAGATTATTATGACATCGTAATTTTCAAAAATGGTGATTATTTTCTTAGAAACTTCAATTAATATCTCAAATTATTTATATAATATACATATATTTACATATATATATATAACATACATTAAAAAGAAACCACCAAGCTAACATACATTAAAAAACCCACCGAGCTAACATACATTAAAAACAAAACCAAAAAAATAAACTACAACAAATTTATTAAAATATGTATTCATTTATTCAGAGCATCACATATTTAATATTTGAAAATACAAACCTAGATGAACATTAATGAAACCTGATACAATAAACAATTTGAAGTTAACATATCAAATCCCTGGGAGTGAAACATATGTGAGGATTTTTCAAAATTATTATGAAAATCAAAATAAGTGAGACAGTGAGGAAACAAAAACTACTCACTGAGATTCAGTAGGCAGACATTTCTATTAACAATAACAACAAGAATAACATTGTGGTTCATAAAAAGATCTGATGTGAAAGCAAGAGGTCTCACTTGGAGTAAATGGACTGATGTCATTAAAGACTTTTTACCTCGACATGAAATGACACCAGCCAGTGCTACCCAGCATGCATTGGATCGCAAACTGCTCCTCCCCATGCTGTTTAAATGAAAAAAAAGTAGAAATTCATGATGATTATAATAATACTGCAGTTTTATATAGTTATTTGAGCCAGTTTGATTATGGTATAATCATCATCATCATACATTAAGGTCATGAGGTCTTGGATTCAAATATAAATTGATGGGGGGGGGGGGGTTTCTAGTTTCAGGTTGGCCTGACTAAAATGAGCACTGTGGTGCTCCAGACTGATTCTATTGACACTTCTACTTGATTCTATTGATACTTCTCCTCGATTCTATTGACACTTCTCAATTCTATTGACACTTCTCCTCGATTCTATTGACTCTTCTCCTCGATTCTATTGACACTTCTCCTCGACTCTTTTGACACTTCTCCTCGACTCTATTGTCACTTCTCCTTGATTCTATTGTCACTTCTTGATTCTATTGACACTTCTCCTTGATTCTATTGACACTTCTCCATGATTCTATTGACACTTCTCCTCGATTCTGTTGATACTTCTTGATTCTATTGACACTTCTCCTCGATTCTATTGACACTTCTCCTCAATTCTTTTGACACTTCTCGACTGTATTGACACTTCTCCTCAATTCTATTGACACTTCTCCTCGATTTCACACTTCTCCTCGATTCTATTGACACTTCTCCTCGATTCTATTGACACTTCTCGATTCTATTGACTCTTCTCCTCGATTCTATTGACACTTCTCCTCGACTCTTTTGACACTTCTCGACTCTATTGACACTTCTTCTCGACTCTATTGACACTTCTCCTCGATTCTATTGACACTTCTCCTCGATTCTATTGACTCTTCTCCTCGATTCTATTGACACTTCTCCTCTACTCTTTTGACACTTCTCCTCGACTCTATTGACACTTCTTCTCGACTCTATTGACACTTCTCCTCGATTCTATTGACACTTCTCCTTGATTCTATTGTCACTTCTCCTTGATTCTATTGTCACTTCTTGATTCTAAAGACACTTCTCCTTGATTCTATTGACACTTCTCCATGACTTAACCTTTTAGGCAAATTAGCATAATTTCTTGTGGCGTGCTTCTACTTATTTTACTACCAATGATCTTTCCAGTTGTTAACAATATTCTCCAATGTCTGTCCTTTTTATCATATGTAAAGTAAAAAGTAAAGATCCCTTTTCACGCCTTGTGCACACTTGGCATATGGGAAGAGCACCCCATATTTCTACAGACCGATAGGCACTAGATGGGTAATGTAGTCAGCATTACGCCGGCCATCTTTACTTTCCCAGGACATTCATCCTGGTACCCATTTTAGGCTAGGTCGACCTGCGACACCCCACACCATATTAAAAATCCACACAGCCAGCAGTGGGTTTCGCTAGCGGTATGTTGGAATTACGAGTCGGACTCGCAACGCCTAGGCCACGTTTGCCGCTTTTATCACATGACTAAATACTATAACTACAGAGTGAGATGGTAAAAGATGGGGGAGGGCATGGGGTGCTTTATCCTAGACACTTAGGGTGAGTTAGTTAAGACAGCATTCATGTCAGTAGTTTGATGGTCTCGACTCAGTTTATTCTAAACATAAATGTTGAATTAAGAATCAACATCATAGTGCCAGGGACACTCCCATAAGCAGTCCATTCCCATCTTCAGCAGCAAGTGAATAGTTCCAATTCCAATGGTACCTGCAACTGTTGAATATAAATGTGTGGTTGTACAGTCCTGATAATATCCTCCATCCTTCTATAACTGAACATGTGATTTGATAGACACAGTTCTGATTAGTTCCTCAATAGGAACATGTGATTTGATAGACACAGTTCTGATTAGTTCCTCAATAGGAACATGTGATTTGATAGACACAGTTCTGATTAGTTCCTCAATTGGATCATGTGATTTGATAGATAATTATGTGGTAATTTTTCAAACACCTATAACTGAAAATAATATGAACATGACATTTCACTGGCAATTTAAATTAGCTCTTTTCAAACATCCTTAATGTAACTTTTATCTGATAGGCAGTTTTAATTAGGACTTTCTAGACATCTATAATGTAACATGTAATTTGAAAGCCAGTTTTTGGTTAGGTTTCCAGTCTTCTGTAATCTGAACCCATATATGGAATAATTTTCTATACTGCCACAGTGGTATATTTTAGAGTTAAAAATCTACCTAAAGTATTTTAGGATACTTGCCGGTGCCACAGAGTTCATGCACTGTGCTGAGAATCATTAGACTCAGGTTTGAGTTAGAAGTAGAACAGAGCACTTATTGGTTACACCCGTGTGTTATGATATTGATCCGTTTAATAAACATAACACAAACTAGACATTCACATATACTACAGTAGTATGTTCCAGTTTTATGGAACTATGTGGCAAGGTTCTTTCCTCTTCCCCTTTCCAACTGAGACAAGTCTCTGCCCACTTGTCTCTTTCACACATCACTTCTCTGAAAAAACTTCAGTTCTGTGAAAATGTGATGTTACTGTCAAACTTCAGTTCTGTGAAAATGTGATGTTACTGTCAAACATCACTTCTGTGAAAATGTGATGATACTGTCAAACATAAATTCTGTGAAATTACGATTTTATAGTCACTGTCAAACATCAGTTTTGTGAAAATATGATTTATATCACTGTCAAACAAACATCAATTCTGCGAACATATGATTGTGTAGTCAGTCCTAAAGAGCCAAACAGTTAGCATACTGGGTTCTCACATGGGAGACCCCAGTTCGAATCCTACGTAAGATCATGGGTTTTTATGCTTGATGTGCCAATGGGTACAAATGGTCTTTGACTTGAATAAAAATAAACCTATATATTTACAGAGTAATCGACACCTGATGGGGTCATATGGTCACAATCCCCTCGGCAGCTTTACATACAAACTACTACATAATAAAATACAGTAAGTAAGTAAGTAAAGGTCCCTTTTCCACGCCTTTAGGCATATAGGGCTAGACATATTTTTATAGAACAATCAACACAAGATGGGTGATGCAGTCAGCATCACGCCGGCCACCTTCACTTCCCAGGACTCAACCTGGTACCCACTCAAGGCTGGATCGACCTGGGAGAAGAGGGCATTTTTGAAAAAAAAAAAAAAAAAAAGTCCCCATGTTGGGGAGGCAGTGGGTCTATTCTTGTTCTCCCCATGTTGGGGAGGCAGTGGGTCTATTCTTGTTCTCCCCATGTTGGGGAGGCAGTGGGTCTATTCTTGTTCTCCCCATGTTGGGGAGGCAGTGGGTCTATTCTTGTTCTCCCCATGTTGGGGAGGCAGTGGGTCTATTCTTGTTCTCCCCATGTTGGGGAGGCAGTGGGTCTATTCTTGTTCTCCCCATGTTGGGGAGGCAGTGGGTCTATTCTTGTTCTCCCCATGTTGGGGAGGCAGTGGG